TGTCAATTTTTCTGCTGAGAAAGCAGCATCGTGTTTTTTTTTTCGAAGGTAGATAATTTTCTACTCTCTTGAAAATTTGGGCGAAAAATGAAATTCTCTTCAAGTGCTCTTAAAGGTGCATGACAAGGGGCACAAAAAATGTTAAAGCACGTCCTGACTAGATGGAACGTGCTTGGGAAATGTTTGATAAGGCTGCTTGACTATTGGACGCCGCTGTCAAGATTTTTCTGACGGTGTTGAAGAAGGACACCAAAAGACCTAGTGTCCTTCAATGCTACAACATCCTAAAGATAAACAGTGCACAGGCACAGTTTAAAAAAGAAAAATGCAGGGGTCAACTCTAAAAGCAACAGTACCTCTGACTATGTTTTGCATTTGGCAGCAAAGAAACCCAAGAAATGTGAAGCAAGAATGCACTGATGGGCACTACATAACTTGAGAGGAGCAAATTTTTTTTTTCTTTAACTTGGAACTCATCAGAGTGCACTGTCTCTTCTTGCACAACACTGTCACAATTTTCGAAAATGTGAACCGGTGTTTGCAGGAGCAAGCACCTCAGATACAGGCACTGTGTTTCCAGCTGCTTGTTATGCTCGAAGACATTATATCGAGGTTGTTGAAGTTTTTCTGTTATGAAGCAGTGAGAAAACTTGCTAAATATTGGTCATCAAAGCAGGGAAGCTCAAAAGAATGATGAAGGTTTGGTAATTGTCCAAGCAACCGATTCCTTAATTCGAAACCTCGAGCCGCAGGAGCAGCATGAGTTTTACACTTCTGTGTGAAATTATTTCACCACAGCACGTTGGCTACATGCGTTTCAAGTTTCTTCTAAAAGATACTGCTCTGATAATGCAGAGGTTGCTAGTCTGAAACCATAAATTATATATCTTTCAGAAATGTTTTTTTGGTGGATCCTGTCATGTCACTGCAACAAATGCAAGATAGTAATGCTAAAGCCGCTTTCGAAATGAAGTTTGCAAAGCTGCATGCTTCCGCCATTTCTACAAAAACTTTGAGCAAAGAAAGAACAGACACCCAGTGGACAGCTGTCTTGCTACTGAAGGGTCCAGGCAGGTTGCTGAAGTTGAGTCGGATCGCAGAAGTGATGCTGGGCATATTGTCGATACCACGCAGCAACGCGGAGTGCAAATGGCAGTTCAGCATCATCAAAAAGATGATACAGTTCCGCTAGTGCATGTGTGATAAGGTTTTCAGGAATGTCTTTCTCGCAAAGTGTCGGAGAAATTGTTTTGTTACTGTCTAACATACATGCAGTGATGATTTTTTGAAGAAGGCAAAATCGGCTGCAACAAAGCCTTGCAGAAGTGAGGCCTTGATTTTCATGTTGTTGTGACTATTTAACACACATCTCAGAATAAAATTCTTCTTTTCTTGAGAAAGATTTGCTGCTAGGGCAAGGCAATGAATGCTATAGCAACAAATGAGAACGCTTTGCGAAGTAACATTAGTAGCTAAATGACTCTTTTTTACAAAACACTGGCTTAGGCGAATACGCCTGTGCCAGTGAGCGAAGCGATTTTCATGCTGTTTGTTGTTTGAGCCTGAACTAAGGGAGCACTGACTCCAACATTTTATATCTAGTTTTTTCTGCTGCAATGAGTAGCTAACATCTTGCTTATCACTGCTGGAAACCTTGTTTGTCTGAGTGCACGATGGTCTCAAAAAGCGCCTAATGTTTTCATGTAAACCCGTCTAGCCATGTGAGCTCAAAAACTGTGTTCGCATGAGCTGTTTCCAATGAAGGCTCCTTGGGGGTCGCTATAATTCTCTCTGGACTGTTAACATGCATGACGTCCTGAAATAGCACTGCTGGGGCTGTACCGGTCGCTTTTGTACCCCTGAGCAACAGCCCAAAGGAGACAATCCTTCCCTTTGTTGAAAAGATCTCATCTGAATTCTCGCAAAGAGGTGTGACCCCCCCAAATGCACATGGGCATAGCGAGGATGTCAGCTATTGCACTCCTGTGAAAGTACATAAAGGAGGTGCCCCCTGTTTTTGCGTAGAAAGCCAGCTAGGAGAGAGAATTTGCAAGAATTATAGCAGCCAACCGAAACTCGTATTGCATGCACAAACTGTGACCTTGTTAATACTGAGGAGAGTGGCAATTTTGGCAGATGACTAAAAGACCACGCGAATGACACCAGGAAGAGAAGACATTGCTACATCTAATCACAACATTGATTGAGCCAAAGCAACTAATCATAAAGAAAGTAAACTGGTGTTCAGGTCAATACTTGCAATTCCTTCTTATCCAGACTATGAGAAAAAGAGAGAGAGAAATAAACTTTATTTTCGACCAGGCGTGCATTCTCTTTGCCTAGAGGTGGGTGACTTCCTCATTCTAGGAAGCCATGGCTAGCCGCTGACGCCCGAGCTCTTTTTACTAGCCGGAGCTGGTCGTCAGCACTTACCGAGGCCAGCTACGCCTTTCACTGGTCTTCCCGATTTTCTTGTACGCTGTGTTCGTCAGTGGGCGGGACACTCGGGTTGTTTCCACAACCCCATACCATGTGGTACAGGGTGTTTGCAGAGTCCGAGCAGTAGTCACAGTTCCTGCTGTAGTTGCCGGGGTGAATTGCATGTATTAGTGTACCATGCCTATAGGTGCCGCCTGTAGGCTTCTCCAGGTCACCGCTTGTTCTTTACTCAGCCTTTTGTTAGCAGGTGAATATTGGCATCATTGCTTCCGGTAGTGTGCAAGTATGTCGGAGTATTTTCTGGGTATTGACTCCTCTTCGTTTCCGGAGGCCGAGTACCGCTGTGAAGAAGCCCGATGTATGTGCTCTAGGGCTGCGGCATGCGCCGTTGGGTTTGAGTTTTTTATCGAGCTTTTTGTGTCAGTGTGTAGGCATCGATCCCCTGGTAACAATTTGGTACTAATAATTCAACGGAAAGATGAATCATTAGATGAAATATCAATTAGTATGACCAGTATCCAACCCGATTCAAAACAAGAGTAAAGCCCATCAATTTTCTGTGCTGCCGAGTGGTCACTTCCCGCGTTCCCAACCCATCTGATCACAGGGCCACACGAAATGGTGACGCGAATTTCCGTTGATGTTTCGTCTGTTTAGCGCACACGTGTATAAGCATGTCTTTGCCACCCGCGTTGTCATCGCTGCCGTCATCAGCGTCCACTAGCAACGATGAAAATACTGAGAAACAGGGAATCTCCGCAATTCGCGGTGTGGCGAATCACTTTGGCTTGATTCTCTTTGGAGCAGCAATTCTGAAACCGACGATGTGCAAAGCAGCGATGACGCAGCTGGAGACACACGCTTGGACCACGCTGGCAGGCAAGACATGAACGTTGTGTGCGTGCTCCTTGTTCGTGATGACTGTAGCTTCAAATTCGTGCTCATACCTCCATGACAATCACCCGAAGCAATAAGACGAAAATGCAGAATCAACACCGAATGTGCTGCACGAACGAAACAAAGCAAAGCGAGTGAAGCCGTCGCCGGGCAGCCAGGGATCGCTCCCAGATGGTACGACATCAAGACACCGCAGTGAGAACACTATATTGTTGATATTATTGCTGCATGCTCATCGTCATTCAATGCCCGAGGCGTGGCCTAGGAGCTCGCTGAACTTGCAAAATTCTGTCGATATCTCATGGCCGGTAACATCATTGAGCCCTTGAATGCTGTTTGCGCTTGAAATAGAACAACTTCCACGTAAGGGATGCCATTCATACTTCACTAAAAAAAGCTCATGCATACCAAGCAATGGAATGAACACCATATCTCGATTTTGAATTTGGTGTCACTGCTCCCTTAAATATGTTGTAGGCTATATTTGCTGTTATTTGTAGATTGTTCGTGTGTGTTCACACAAATCTATCCCACAAGAAATCTTGCTTTCAGAATCTTGTGTCCCTGCTGGTGGTGAGCAAAGCACATAAAAGGGTATACAGGAGCCGTCTAACAATGCCCGTTGAGATAGCGTGTGCTTCAGCGCTCATGGCCGTCCCTCTCCCACCGGCGGCCGATATGGCCCTTCGTCCGACGAAACAGTGTTGGGCCTTTGCTCTCTGCTTGAGAAGCGAGTGACGACAGGCCTCGCACGCAGAGCGATGTCATTGCATTTGCGCTTCGTGCAACGAAGACTGCAGTAATTTCATCTCAGCTTCCACTGCATTTCTACCTAGCGCTGGTGCACTTTTACTTGTACATAAAAGATACAATGCATTAGCAATGTTGTCAATTTGAACTTGACAGCGTTCATATAATTTCTGTCAAAATATGTCAATTTATTATAATAATGTTAATCTAAAAATAGCTAATTAGGAACACATTGTACAGGAATCTTCGATATGCTATACAATTGTTAATAGCTGTCATTTAAAAACATTTTAAACCTTGTGTAGTTCATCTTTTCTAGTATCTAGCTGTTTCAATGCATAGTTTTTGCTCCATTGTTCCGAGAAAACGGGAAAAAATGCTGATTAATATAGACTAACTTCCAAATTAATTGATATATCTTGGTGGCAATTGTATCTATTTGGAATTGGCAAAGAAAACTAAAGAGGTACATGCAGTTTCATTAAATCTGGTAAACAAAATCTTGATGACTCCATACCAACTCACCCATATGTTTGTGCTGCTGGTGAGGAGTTTCAAGACTGAAACATAATTAGTTACATCTCGTAACATCTTTAATGACATTAGGGATGCAAAATTGTACTTCGTTTCGGTGATAAGTATCGTATTTACTCGAATGTAACACGAGCCTTTTCTTTTTCATATTTTTGGTTCCGATGACTGTAGTTTTTCATATTCTTGGTTCCCGTCAACCCTCGGATTACAATCAAACATTAAAATAACCAAAAATCAAGTTGTCTAAGTGCAGTAATGCACACTATTTTGTCATTTATATTTTATCTTTTTTTCTTTCTGAACACAATAGAAACTCAGAACTCAGCGTGAAAATCAAGTAAACATGGTAAGCACTTCTTTTTCTTCGCCCATTGTTCAAGCTATGCAGCAGGAGGCCATGTCATGGGAGGCTGTCCCGGACAATGTAGGAATGAACGTGGAGGTCGCCATGCAGTGCCAAAGCACGATTGATGAACACCAGCACCCCGAGGTCGATGATCACGTCAGCGTCCAACTTTGGGTTGAGAGTATGCACTTGAGGAGGGACAACCCTGTTCTTTTCTTCAAAAATCGAGGCCAGCCGGACAGGCCTGACGTCCTCGACAGGCTGCCTAAGGCGCTTCTCAAGGAGAGGGACTTCATGCTGGTCATCATGACGGCGCCCCAGCTGCAGCTGCTCAGAAAGTTCGGCATCAACTGTGTCTGCGTGGACAGCATCTGTGGAACGACGGGCAAGCATTTCAGATTCACTCTAATTTCTTCATAATGGGCAACATAGTTTCTAAAGGAGAAATGCTGCTTGAAAGAAAAAGAAACCTAATTTCTTTCAATATTACATATTTTGATGTTTTTACTTGCTTTCACAAGTTTGGTTTCTCTATTTTTCATGTTGAAAAAAAATCAAGGTTGTAAATAAGCTCGAAGTATCGTAGGTTAGAGTCGCTTTTAAAGATGGCGTTCGAAATACTAAGGAGAGCTCATTGTCTAGAGTCCCCCAGAAAAATTCTCTCCTGGCTGCTTGCCACATCATTCCACATGAGGAGGTCACCAAAGCCATATGCTCATTATAACCGTGATTACAGAGCTCTCATGATGGAAGGAGTAATTATAAAAAGCCTATCTTTGTCGCATATATATGCTTTCATTTCTACATTTAAAATGCTTTTTTCTCAAGATTTCTGGTTTTGCAAACTTCTATGTCACGCGAAAACCGTACTGCTCGCTTGGGTTTCCGTGTCAGTGTTGCACTTTTCTGCTTTTTTAAAATTATCGTTCGATTAGCCAAGTATTTCTGTTATTAAGCTTATGACAGGGGCGTCTCGGGAACATAGCACCATTATTTTGACATGGTAAAGAAAAATCGCCGGAGTTGGCCTCTGAGCTACAGTGGTTCATCCTATGCCTACCGGCTAGTGCATACCTTGCGTGCTGCGATAACTTTTGTGCCACAAAATTTTAATGCACTGCTGAACTTGTCATTGCCACAGTGTGTTTCAATAAGTTTTCTGTCTTTTCGAGAACTGCGGAGATCGGTCACATTTATTATTATTTGTTATCTATTCTATTATTTATTTATTTACACATTCTGCAGGGCTAATTACACTATGGCAGGAGTGTGTATACAAGAACACACAAAAATATAGCTGAAACCAATGAGAATATCGCAAATGTGTAGCATAACGTCGTGCGAACATTAAGGCAAAAATATCAGAACACAGAAAAAAAAGGGACAAACAAATACTATTTCCAAACAGATGAGCGAGCGTATTCCCCACACGTGTTTTATGGATTTCGGCTACAAAACTCTGCAATGGGCATCTAGGAGCGGAACCTGATATTTAATTGCAGTCTTCGATGGAACAGGGGAAAAAACTGAAGTTGAACATATGAGTTCGAGCATAGTAAAGCCTCAAACTTAGGTAGTGATAGCTTCTCATCGTTGTCTGTGGGACAAAGTTTATGTATTGCTTGTTATTTTACAGTTAAAGTGTGGAGGAAATGATGCTTAGCAAGGATTTTAATTACTCTATTTGGCGACGCAAAAGGAAGTGGAGTTGATTGCAATGAAGATGCAGCAAGAGAGGGTGAGAAATGGCTGTCGTAATGATGACATATGAGTCTTGGCAACCCAAACGTATTTCCGCACGCTGGCAGGTTGCCTTTGCAGTTTTGTCGCTTTTGCACTAATTATACTAACCACTTTTGACCATTTCATTACCAAATTTTAATGTATACATTTTCTTTGTTGTTTTTTTTTTGTTCTCTTTTACTTATATAACCCAGTTATAATGTTTTGTGCACATAGCATTGAATGTGGATTGTGCATCGCATGCAGAAAGCTCATCGTTGCCGTGTTATCCCAACAAGTTACTCACTGCATCACACGTATCTGCGCATGCTCCAGAGCAGAGTTGGTATGAAGAACACTCCTATGGAATAAAGCATGTGCGGCTCAGGAGTGACAGCGTAGGTAGAGTAGGCGATGCACTGCATGCAACTAACCGGGAGACAATCTGCTCCATGCGGCTGTACTGCATTTCAGTAAAACTGCATCAGTTCTTGCTTCGTAGCAGATACAGGTGCGTACACATGTATTGTGGAAAGCATATACTGTCTATCCTGTCAGTATGTCAGTCGCTGTGTATCCTGGACCATAAAATAGTTTTTTAAACGCCCCGTGGTGTCACCACCATGCACTATCGGATGGTTGAGCGAAAGTGCCAGAATCTCTTCTGTACTTTGGCAAAAAAGAAGGGAAAGGCTTTGAGGTTAACATTTTAGACTGCATTTGCTATAGCACTGTACAGTCAAACCCTTTCATAAGAGACACTGATGCAGCAGACAAATGGGTACAAGATACACCAGTCTGCCTACACTGAAATAGAAGTTGATAAGAAAATGCATGCATGAGGCATCTCATATAAAAGACAAGAAATTCGCCTCAAGGCACGTCTCTTACAAAGGGGTTCATCTGTATTTATTTGTATCTCGGTGGTGATGGCACATATCAGGAGGTGCAAATTTGTACTTGGTGTTTGATGCGTGCCATCACGTCAGGCTTTCTGGCAGCTACTGGGGTGGTCGAAAGTTCCCAGGCCACGCTGTAACAGAAATACATGGGATAGTGGCCGGGGAACTTTTGACCAGCCCTGTAAATATTGATGAAGTTTTTCTCAAAACTTAAACGGGAGCCAGTAGTGAACGGTATTGCAGATGTAATCCACACATGGGACAGTGTTGTAATGATTGAGAGCCTAAAGCGAAACTGTAGGCATAGGCCAGTATTCAAGCGCTCCGAATGTTCACATGAATATTATGCATTTGTGTGCACTCCGACATGAACACAAATTACTTGAAGTTTCGAAGCATTCAGAATGAACTAATAGACACATATCACATGGTGACTGTGAAGGTAGTTTCACAGCGACATGGAGTGCTATTTCTCAAGGGCAGGTGCGACTGGAAATAAAAAAGCTGTGTGGCTTCTATAGCCTAGGGAAATGAAATGTTTAGTGTATATTTAGGCTTTTATTGTGATTTTAAATACATAATTAGTTTTATAGTAAGTTGCACAGTTTTTGTTTTGTGCGATGACAATATGTATAGTATAATTTGTTTTGGACAATATTTTTATGCCGCCTTTTATGATGCGGAGCCATTAATGGCTCATATTGCTCAACATTAACTGTAGAATGTAAATAAATAACCAAGAAAGTGCATGTAAGACATTTTAATGGACCAGAAAAATTGTAATGTGAGAATTCTTTGAATCATCAGCCAAAACTAATTGCTTGCTTTAGCTTCGTAGTAATTAAACAGGCGATATCAAGTCTTAAAGGAGATACTTGCATCCTTAACATGTTAAGGAATATCTTGGCATAATTTCATCTTGGTTTGGCTGTCAGAACTATCAAAATCATGATGTCTAAACTTACGAAGTTTCCGAAAGATGGATCTTGAGAAGAATGCATTTTAACAGTATAAGTCAAAGCTTATCTATACGGGAAACATGTGTTTTTTTTAATGATTCTTCTATCATAAGAGCTTGGCAACCATTGTTATTCTGCGCATGTGGCTTTAGTGAACTGTTCATGTAAAATGCATTGGCAAGCAACCAGGTGACAATTTCCTGAGGGCTGTAGACAATGAGCTCTTCTTAGATTTAATAACCACCTTATGCTCTTTGAAACCTGCGTAGAGTTTAATTACAATCTTTGTTTTTTTTTCTTTTAGGAAAGTAAAGTAACCATACTTGTGGGAGCAAACAGAAATGATAAATGTGTACTTTTGGAAAACGCGTTTTTCAACTTGCATTTACCCTTAGAACAACATATCCTGAGGAAATCTACACTGCCGTGAAGCCGCCCTTCAAGATTAAGTGCACATATTACCATCACCTCGATTCATTATTGTTGTAATTTAAAAACTTGCTATATGAGTATATGTGTGCTAAGTGTAGTAAATTTAAATACGTAACATATTTTACTTCTTATAAATCCTGCCCTACTGTTATTCAAATTCTACAGCTAGTATTCGAATTCGCTTCCACATTACCCTGTTACTTTGAACCCATGAGTGAGGACATGTAGTGAGTGTTTGTTTGATTCCAGTAGGCTGTAAAATGACAGAACAGCATAGAAAGTGATATTGCCAATATATTAGATGCGAGACAGCTCTTTGACTAGCCTGTGTAATGCTGTCCCTCCGTACACCCCCGCCTCACATGCTCGCATCTCGTGCCTGCCCAGAAAGACACCCCCAAAACTGTAGCTCCCCTTCCCCTCTCTCGCCAATGCAGGCAGCGTCCATCTGCTAGCAAAAAAAAAAAAAAACTGCTCGCTCTGCACAGCCGTTCACTGGCCACCCCATATATGTAGGCACTGGGCCACGAGTTCGGAATTCAGTCAAAGGCATCTTTACTTGACTTTCCCTTGATGAGCGCCAGCATCAATGATGTCGCCTGTGTAAGTGTTAGTGCTCGCTGCTTCGCATCTACACATGGTTCCCTTTAGCGGGAGATGGTTCAATTTTAACTTTTTTTCCGAAAAGCATGGTGATATCTTTCGTGGAAACAACTTGAAGTACAGTAAACTCTCATTAAACAGTACTTGAAGGGACCGGGAAAAAGTGTTCCATTTAACAGGAGTTCCGTTTGCTGAGAGGTGAAGTGGGTTGCAGCGTTCAAGTATGAAACCAACCATATTAGGGGAACTTGCTCCATTTAAACAGCAGTTCTGTTTAACAGATTTTCGTTTCCTGAGAGTACACTGTATATACAACAGGCTTTTGGCGACAATGCTGGCCCCCATGGTTGTCTAATGGTTGCAGCGTTATACTGCTGACTTGAAGGTTATAGGATCAAATCCCAGCCACGTGCTGCATTTTGAATGAAGGCGAAAATTTTAGAGGCTCGTGTGCTTTGATTCATACATAACAAATTTAAACTGGCTGATTCACCCACTACCCTTCTAGCTGTTTCTGGGCTTCCCACGCTCGAAACACGGGCGAAGCAGGCACGTTTGAAATTTCTTTATCAACTCCTACATAATTATTTAAAAATAGATGTCTCATACTACGTTGAATATTCGCAAACACGAGCTACCCGGCACCAACATACAAATACTCTATTAGAATATAAATGTAACAATGATGCGTTTAAATACTCTTTTTTTCCAGTTGCCATCCACGAATGGAATTTGTTAACCCCTTTCACCACTAATGCCCAGTCATTGTGCGATTTCTTATCAAGAATTGAAAATAATGTCTTTTAGCGTCCTTGATATGTCTGCTTTTCTGTGACATGCAAACCAGCATTCACTTGTATTTGGTGTGTATGGTGTGCATAAGTGCTGATTGTATGCTTCAAGGTTGCTGATTTGTATTTTTACACATTATTTACCAATTTACGATCCTGAAAGTGTTAAGTGCTCTTTGTAACTGTATACTGTAGTGCCCACCTGCTATGGTCTCTTTGGAGACTGGCAGTATTGTGAATAAAGTGCGCAATAATGACCACAGGTATTGAAATTTTCAAAGCCTTCTACTGCAGTGTCCGTCATAATCATGTCATGGTTTTCGTGTGTAATACCTCAACAGCAGTTATTATATGATGACAATATTATGAGCACCTCTCAGATAAAGGAGTGGTACAGCTACTTGAAAGACATCTGCACAACTGCTGGCAGCAGATCTCGTTGTCAGGTAGAACCTCAACAAGGCAAAATGAGAATGTTGGCAAAGCATGGCTTTTCAGAAAAAGGTTACGTCTCCTTGTGAGTGAGATAGAGGTAAAAAATGAGAGGTATACCATAGTCATTAAGCTGAAAGCCCTATACATATATGTATATCTGGGTGTTTATGAAAAATCATGCTGCTTTGGGAAATACAGCAACTAGTGTTTCTGAATATGTATCCTGCGCTCTTGCTCTTTGTGAGGTTTGCATGTGCTTTTTATCTCAAGCATTCCTAGTCGGCACTGATGTGTGCCTTCTCTGGATGCTGCCATTCCCAACCTCTGTATATTTGTCCAGTAGGCTGCAGTAATTCACTAAACAAGGGTTTTCTCGTAGTGCTTCCTCTTCGGTTGCTAATTACAACAAGCTTTTTTCTTTAAACTTGCAGCCTTCAGCTATCAGCTTGTCACGCTACTGTCTGTGGAGGAATTTGGTGCCAGCTTCCCAGTGGCATACTGCATCACCAACCGCACCGACGAGAAGGGGATGGCAATATTTTTTGAATCGGTTCGATCCAAAACAGGGAGAATATCAGTGGATATTTTCATTACGCACGACGCCTCCTCTTTCTACAATGCCTGGACTGAGGTGATGGGATGTCCAGAACACAGAGTGTTGTGTACTTGGCATGTGAGGAAAACCTGGCGACAGACTCTCAACCAGCATACTCAGAACAAAAAGCTCAAGGCCTCTGTCTACAGGGTAACATGCTCTGATCAACAGCACTTTTAAATGCAATGCGTTTCTTAATGAACCTCTGCGACTACGAGCACATCTTTCTGTCTGTCTGCCCGTCCTTCCGTCTAGCCACATTCGACTTGGTGCTCTGACAGCTGCCTGCTGGACAGGATGTATACCATAATTATAGATATGACATAGCGTGATTGTATTGTGAACGTGAATTTATGACCAGTCCAAACACGGAAATCCTAACATGTGTGTCATGAACGCGTGATTTATCTTCTATGTTATTGGTGCTTTTGCAGCCGTTTTGTTAGCTTGATAGTTACAGAAATTAATATGACGTGACAACCAGACCATGTCATAACATGCAGACCATGACATGCATGTGATATCCGGCATGATTTACATGACACAGTTCAGGGGAGGAAGTGCTGTGCCATTTGCACCAATTTCGCCTAACGCCAATTTGCATGTGCAACGCCAAATTAGTAGTTTTATAATTGACCGAGCAACACGCGTGGCCTACACAAAGGATGCAACTGATTTCATATCAAATTAGTTCGGTCACGTCGTATTTCGGTTCATGCATGAGTCTTGTTAAAGTGGCATTTGTGTGCATACCTCAATATACGACTCCATATATCATGCTTTAACAGCAAATCTGTTAGCCAAACTATATAAACTGAAAAAAAAATTAGTTTTACAGTCAAAGCAATGACTGCAATAGCAAGAATTTGTAATGTTGTAATAGTAATGCCGCACGCGCTCATTTCTTTTCATTTTTGACACGGAAACATTAAGCGTGCAACGCTGCTTTGCACAAGCCGCACCTGAATGACAGGGAACAATTTAGATAATCTTCTACCCTTCCGATGAGGTTACGCGCACAATGCGTACATTAGAGTTTATTGTGGAGCTTATGCAGCCGCTAGCGATAACGCTGGAATCTTCAATGGCACATGTATAAATGCCGACACACTTTGCTGCTTGGCAGATTAATGACAGCAGACGCTCTGGTTTGCTGCTATCAGTCTACAGCGTGTATTGCTTGTAGAGTGACGTTTGGTTTTCTGTGCACAAGTTCGCCCAAATAAATTTCACTCATGAAAACACGGGATTCCGCCTTCGTCAACATTATGACCCCCTGACAATACAAAGGCTGAAAGCTAACTCATTTAGATTCGATATCGCGACACTACAAAACGCTGGTGTAAGAGAATATGTACAGCCGCTCTAGAGAAAAATGCTCTTATCGCATAATCTCTTCTTGTTGAGAGTGCACTATGTAGAACGGTTTACGAGTGTTTAGGAGTCGTGCACTGATGCTTTCCAATAGCGCGCGTGCCAACTCATCGCAACCGTGTCCTTAGAATAAAAGTTCACCGGCGCTGCTCTAAAGCGGCCGATCTGCGTCGCCCTCGTAGCGACGCAGATCGGCCGCCTCGTTTTAGTCTTTGTTTGAGCAGTGCTCACCACCCTAGCTTGTGCAATTTTACACGCAGGTAGAACGTACGATGTGTGGAGAATGTTACAAACTTGTAGTTTACTCAGAACATGGCGGCGACGGGGAAAACTCATCGAGTGTCCATATAGTTTGATCATAATAAAAACGAATTCACTTAATTGCCTAGCAGTGGTGGGGCGAGCCCATTCACATTTCTTCACGGTTCTCATGTCAGCTTTGGCACTTCGATGACTGGAACACAAGTTTTTTACATTTGTTTTTATTAAGCCCAATTAGTTTAGTATAAAGATAACTTCTATTATATTAGTTCATTTCTAGTCTTGAGTGGCTGTTCACGTTTTATGCGGTGTTTTAATCACCTTTTGAACATTGCAACATTTTAATGTTAAAATTTTGTCATTCTTCTGAGGTCAAGTAGCTGTCCAGAGTGCCGCATATGTTTTTTTGTTGAGTTGCTGTGCTTTCAGCTTTGATGTTGCAAGGCTTGATATAACGATCAATTTGGGATAAGTCTGGTCACTTGATCAGCATTGAATGCTTAGTAAAAACCACTGAAATTTTTTGTGTTTATGAGACAGCAAAGAGAAAGTGAGAATGAAAATTAACACTGATGTGTGACCTAAGAAATTTGCTCTAAATCTAAATTTTGATGCTCCAAGACACACCTTTTGGTGCTACAGAGCTGCTCCAAAATGCCCATTTTACTGCTTCAAAACCGTAGTATTCCTGCTCCAAAAGCTGCTCAAAAAGATTGAAGCCCGCTTCTGCCCGTGCACAGTCTTGAGGCACTCGTCGCCATTTAATTGAGAGGATGTAATCTAAAATTGGTATCTTGCGACGTGAATGTATGATGACCGTAACACACTGACAGTTATATGAAGCTGATGGTATGCGTCTCAAATGCAAGGTGATCTACATGCCACACTCATAATGCGCTTCTGGCCGGTTTGTTGACTGGGTATACGGTATATGAAAATTATGAACATAAATGACAACCCATGCATCGTATTTACCAGAACATACATTTCAGTAGCATTGCTGCATGTACCTACAACGTTGGACCTGGGTGCATGCATGATGAACATGTGATTGCAAACTACATGTTATGACACCTATGATCTAATTCGTCTCAAAGAGAGATTAGTCTATGTATACAGATAATTGCTGGCTGCCTCTCACTACGTCGATTTTTACAGTGTGCGGGATTTTAATGGGTGATATAATTGCCGCTAGAGAGATGCCACCTGCGTGTCATGTTTTTTTGTTTCATGCTTTGATTGTGCATACCTTTGGCGGTAATTACCTATTTATACGTATAATTTACACAAATATTTGAACAAAAACTGAGGTAAGGTTGTGATCCAAAACGCAAATTTTAATCTACAAAGGTGCCTTCCCAGCAGTGGTTGCCAGTTATGCAAAGAAGCTAGCTTTGCAGCAGCAATAGTGAATGCATGTGGATTATCTTTAGATAACCTTCCGTGGGGGGGGGGTGCAAATTATATATGAGGAATTAGTGTATATCTTACTAAAAACCAGCAGACAATAAAGCGAAAGAAAGTATAATAAATGTTAATTGTGCTGTTTTAGGTGTATTGCAGTAACTGTGAAGAAAGTTGGCCTCCAGAGGGATCGAACCTACAACTTTTGAACGTTGGGCAAATAAAGTTTATTCAACTCAGCTTCTGTGAGCTGAGCTGCAGCGGCAGTTGTCCCCTGTTCACTAGATGGTTATAGTTTAGCGTTAGCATGATAGCGTGGGTTAAGGGATCGGCATTACCGTGCAGCATAGGTCTGCAAGCTCATTCATAGGTTGACTCACTTAGACTCTGAGTTTGAGTGAGTCTGGGCGAGTAATCTTTTGGTGAGTGTGAGTCCAAAGCACAAGATACATTTGTTAAGTGAGTGTGAGTGAGTTCCACATTTTTTTGCTGACCTTGAATTTTATCTACTGATCTTCAACATTACTATCACCATTATCTGCATTCGCATTTACACTGACATCAACCCACGCATAATACGAAGTGGTATCGTTCATACACTATTTCAATGTTTATTAAACTGAGGCATAAGTTATGTTAGGTGGTATTCGGCAACTTTCATACAGAAGTTCTTGATTAGTAAATCTCATGTTTTCATCTTTTTTTTTTTTCAAGAAAAATGCCCTTACTGATTTGCAACCACTCCTATTTTGTATGCAAAGATACTATATGAAGAAGAGCCCCAATTACGTGAGATATTTGTGCGAGAGAAGTAAAAGAAATTAATTGTAGGCTAACGGACTCATCAGTCGACTTACTTGAACTCACTCAGACTCAGATGGCGCCATTGATGAGTTTGAGTGAGTCTGGGTGAGTAATATTTTGGTGAGACTGAGTCCCAGCAAGTCTGGTCGAAGAAAATTTTCATGAGTGCGAGTCCAGCTCAGGAAAATTTTGGTGAGTCTCAGTCCGAGTGAGCCCCAAGTGCAGAATATATTTCATGGGTGAGTCTGAGCAAGCTCCACAAGTTTTGTCGACCTATGTTGTGCTGCAAACGTTCGTTGTGGACAACATGTTTTAGTTAGTGAAATAGCATTTACGTGACCAATCTGGGACAGTAGCGTCACATAGAGAAGGGTGAAAAAAAAAATGAAATAAATAAGACACTGAAAATGCTCCTGCACACAGCATTATTACCAATTTTCGTGGTAATGAAAAAAGTAAACAAATATAAGCCATGCACCAAATGTGGAAACTTTTATGTTACAGACTTGCTTACGCCAACCTTCTAGTCAGGCCTAGACAGTGGAGGATCCAGATTGCGGTCTGTAGGGGCGGTCACCCTTCACCCACCACAATGTCAGTGTCAGTAACCTCCCCCCCCCCCCCCCCAACTCTGCTTCAGTGCTCATAGTCCACCTCCTATCACCAATGAGAACAATTGAGCGAAACCACTGTGAGCACATATTAACAGTATTTATGCTATGAAGGGGTTCTTCAGCTAGTAAAACGAAGAGGTCATCACCACGCCTCCCTCTACATTGTTACTTGAGGTGACCACACCCCTGAAATGAGTGGCTGGATCCGCGTTTGGACCTAGGGATGTTTGAATTGGGAAGCAATCTCAAAAACTAGGCGAAGTTTACGATTGAGCGAACTTGGACGTGTCAGGGAAGCATAGTGAAATATACTGCAGAAATAATCATGGGGGGGGACACAGATAGCTGTTGCAAGTCCAGTGATGTGTGTGTTTTCTACCTGTGTCCCTGTGGCTATTTGTGGTGTGTGTTTCACTGGGCAAAGTTATCCGCAATAATCTATCGTCGAAGCTACCTGGAGACAAGTGAGGACGTTTTACACAGTCGTTTGCTACGAAAAATGTAAGTCTGTGCACTTCAATTCGAAGTTCTGTTCAAAGCGGCCATCCGAAATCGTCGCCATGTTTTAAGTACACTTGTAGACCACGCAAACGTGGTAACAATAAACCTAAAAAATAGGATGCATCCGGTAAATGCTACGGGTCACTTAGTAGTAGTAGTAGTAGTAGTAGTAGTAGTAGTAGTAGTATTTTTATTTACAGTAAGCCGGATACAGAGCTCACTGCAGGGGCAAAGGGCTAAAGGCGAACAGCCTGACAAAGGCCCTTGTCCCTCCGCAGTTCGTGACAGTGCAAAGCTTAGACATCAACATAGCTTAGCATAGTGCGTATGCACGTTTCGATCCCGCTATTCCGCTGAATTATATAACTGTCTACTTATCGGGCATTTATGGGCATGCGAACCTGAATGTGCCAGTCAGCACTGCCATTGGTGTGTGTTGCGCAGGCTCAACAACTGCAGGTTTTTTAAGCATTCTGAAGAGGATGCAATAGCCTGGCTAGGTTCGAAAACAGCGTGAAGACATAGAAGCAGTGGTACTTGGTTTTTTCACAAGTGTTGTTATAGGTGTTTGAGCTTCCAGCTTATCAACAATTCATGTAACTGTAATTTTGATTTTTCTGGAGCAGAACTGGGCCTACTCCCAAGATATTATTTTGGAAATAAATGTTTGTTCACTCATTCATTCATTCGTATTGCTTGTTCGTGGTATGCAGGAATTCCAAAAGGTCATGGACAACCCCTACGAAAGAGTATTCCAGCTTGACCTCAAGAACTTCTTGGCCTGGTGCGATTTGAAAGCAGAGACGCAGCCTGCCATCCGGGACATCAAACATCAAGTAGAATATAATTACGCATACCACAGAAATGCTTGGGCAGCTTACTTCCGCAGGACAGCTGGAGTTGATGCAAGCATGAGACACGACGCAGTGCACATGATCCTGACGCATTGCTACTCACACAAGACGACCAACAAGCGAATGGACAGATTAATCTCGGTGCTGTTAAAGCTGACGAGGAGCAAGATTTTTGCTCTTCTTCCTAGAGTAATTAGAAGAAGCAAAGACAGGTTTGACCAGGACACAGAAATCAGGCACAAAAGAGGGCTAGACATCTCCAGAAGGGACATTCACAAAGTTGCTTCCAAGCAATGGTGCATTTGCTCCCAAGCAGGCCACGGTCTGGAGTACATTGTAACACAATGGGCCCCATGCAGAGAGCGGTGCAGAAAAGCCTGCCCCGACTGCCGAGTGTGCATCCACATGGCAAGCTGCACGTGTCCGGACCACATGTCGCGGAATACCATCTGCAAGCACATTCATGCAGTGTTTAAGCCTAATGACAGTGACACAAGCCATCTGAGTGATCGCAGTGACGTGCCCCATGTCGAAAATATGGTACCTGCCTACTACGGGGTAAGCTCGTTCATTTGTTAATCCAAACTTTGAAATCTTAAAAAGGGGCCTTGCAACACTTCTTTAGCATTGTCAGAAAACGCTGCCGATTCATAGTCGATGCCCCTGTGAATGTGCGAACGAAACACTGTAGCGTATAGCATGCGGGCTGGAGATCACAATTAATATTCAAGGTCAGCTAGAAATCGTTTTCTCCTTTTTCTACAAATGATGCACTATAAGGTTGAAAATGACTCGTGTTCCAATTTCCTCTGCTGCTAACGATGTTTGTATACTAGACAGATTGGAGTCTGTGTATGATCACTTTTTGAGTACTTTGGACACTATGTGCGACGCTAACTCTCTCTGGGTGAAATTTAAGAACACAGTACACGCATGCATTGACCTCTATGTTCCCTTCCGCTATCGACCAGCAAATCCCTCGAATCCATGGATCACCCGTGACATCATTCATTTAAAAAGGAAAATTAATCGCTTGAACAAACGGTTCAAAAGAAATCGTAATACAAAGCTAAAGGAAGAAATTTCCCAACTCTCTCGTAAACTAAAAGACCTACTGCAAACAGAGCGGCGTACATTTTACACTGTGCGCTTGAGCAGCATGATTAAAGAATTGCCCTCCAAATTTTGGCGAGGTATAACCCCTAAGCACTCGGAAACTAGCACTTTCGTAATAGATAGCATCTGTACCTCAGATTCTACAGAAATCTCGAATTCATTTAACGAAAACTTCAAGTCCGTATTTACAGTTGACGACGGAACTATCCCGCCTTTCGATAAATATAAAATGCTGCCATCTGTTGAGGATGTTATAATTACCGAACCCGGTGTACTTAATCTGCTCCTCAACCTAGATGAAAAAAAATCTCCAGGACCTGATGATATACCCAATGCATTTCTAAAAAGATACGCGGAGTGGTGCGCCAAATTCCTTGTTATTATTTTTACTTTGTCTCTTTCAACTGGCGTCCTGCCGGAAGATTGGAAAGTGTCCAAAATAAATCCCTATTTAAACAAGGGGATAAACAGTCAGTTACGAATTACCGTCCTATAGCTTTAACCAGCACTTGTTGTAAATTATTAGAGCATATCATTCATAAGCACATATCTACTTTTTTAACAACGCATTCGATTCTCTCTTCAGCGCAATATGGTTTTACGCGCGGCTTTTCCACTGTGACCCAACTTGTCGAAACCGTACATGACTTCGCTGTGACTATCAATGACCGTAAACAAACAGATGTGATATTTATAGATTTCGCGATAGCGTTCGACAAGATATCTCATGTAAAACTAATAATCAAACTACGTGCCGTTCTTAAAAATGATAAACTTTGCAGTTGGATTAAATCATACCTTACTTCTCGTTACCAATATGTCATCTTCAGCGACACTCCTTCTAAAACAGTACCTGTCACTTCGGGTGTACCCCAGGGTTCGGTTCTGGGTCCGTTGTTATTTCTTCTTTATGTTAACGACATTGTTGGCGAGCATGACATGAAAATTAGATTGTACGCTGATGATTGTCTGATTTATTCTGCTGTAGACTCTTTGGATGACCAGATTAACCTTAATTTGAAGCTGAACGATGTTATTTAGTGGTGCAACACATGGCAGATGTCTGTTAATTATAAAAAAAGTGCTGTTATGTCAATCACAAACAAGAAGCAACCCCTTATTTTCAATTACACAGTCGAGAATAATGTTCTAACGCGAGTAACTGAGTATAAATACCTTGGTTTACATATATGTAACAACTTGCATTGGGATAAACACATTACAAACATTGCAAATCAATCAATGTATAAACTTCACTACTTGAAAAGGTCTCTCAGAAATGCTCCAACAAGCATAAAATTACTAGCCTATAAAAGCATCGTGTTACCAATTCACGATTATGGAAATGTAATTTGGGACCCTTTCACGGCGGCTAACTTATCTAAATTAAAATGTGTACAAAATAAAGCAGTCCGTTTTATCTTCAATTGCTATGGCCGCACATCAGTTTCGGAACTGACAGTCAAGGCTGGTTTATTGAACATTGCAGACAGAAATAAATTATGCCGCTTACGCTTTCTTTTTAAAATTGTGAAGAACCTTCTCAAAAGCGATACTCATCAATACTTAACGTATTTTTCTTCAGGTCATTTATCCCGCCACCGTCACTCGCTGAACTTAACCCCCTTCCAGCCGAGAATCATTGTCTTTAAGTATTCTTTTTTTCCAAGAACAGTGAATGAATGGAATAGCCTTGAAAGTCATGTTGTCGAGCAAACTGATATTAACAAATTTGAAAGCCTACTTGACTTTTAAACTTTTCTGTCTTGTTGATCACTTGATACGTGTTCTGGTTCTCGGTGTATATTGCACTCGCCGGACAATAATGTGTACTCTTCTTTTTGCAGTGTGTGTTGTTGCAATGGGTGTATCGGTTTATTCTTTTCTTTTTTTGTGCCCTTCGCGAGATCTTATTCACGCGCCACTGTGAATTGGCAATCAGTTCAATCTGGTTATGTTATGCGTTCGTTTTGTCTATTTCATTGTGAAATGTAGCACACATTTCTTTCCACCCTGCTACGACCCCTTAACTGGAGTCAGCAGTATTGTAAATATACCCGAAGGACACGCCATGTACTCACATTCAAGGTTATTGGCTGATTTGAGCATCCTGTGCTGCACAGTTATCGTGGCGGTCACGGGATGCCACGCGATCGCACGAAAAGCAAGCTGTGTGTTTAAAAAAAAAAACAAAGTGCTCAGGGCCATGACGAGCGCATGACATCTTCTTTCCCTTGTGCCATCCCTCCATGCTCATCTTCCAGCATTCTATTAGAGATGGGAGAAATCAATTACAGCGTGCCCCAAATCTTTGTAAATCCGCTCGTACTGGAATGATTCTAAGAGTTTTGCTGGCAGTCAGTTCATAAGGCAGTAAACTCTGTTAACAAACTTGTTCGAAGATTACTCCGAAAAAAAAAAGTGTTGCATGGTCTCTTTAACAAGAGATGAAAAGAGTTCAGTGGCACAGGTGCAAATCTACATCTAAAGTTTATTGAAAAAAACACACACAAGCTAACCTGGTGCCTATCTGTGTGCACGACCCAGGGAAAACTTTTATCTTGTGGAACAATGTACAGTAAAAGCTCGTTGATACAAATTTTACAGGACCAGGAAAAATGGCCAAATTGAGTGAATGTGGTATTATTGAAAGTGTCAAGAAAACAACGAACAAGTGTTTGTTACATGAATACGCATTCATTTTCTTGATGGATACATAGATCTTCTACTTAGTTTGCATAAGAGCAGAGTAAAAGCCGCAATTTTCATTCTACAACCAACTTCGTTCCCGGTGCAAGGTGGTGCGAGAGTTCCATGTTTATTCAGCCCGAAACATGCTCTGCACACTTCACCTATTTTGTGCTGCCACCACCACCACATACACGTAACAATAGTTTATTTTCAAGTAAAATAACCGGCAACTGATAGTTCATTTATCGCTATGTAGCAAACGAGTTTTATGCCACCTGGCCGACCACAGCAGAAACGTCTTAATCATCAGCAGCTTCCGTTGTGTTTGGGCTTTGAGATATCGTGCATGCATTGCATGAAATTAAAATGAAGCCACTCAGTGCCGGATCTGCGGACATAGCCATGGTCACTAGCTGATGAAGATAATGACTTGGAAAGTGCTGCCTTGTCTCGGTGGTCTGTTTTGACCATTGTCACCTTGGTTTTCACTCTTCTGCATTGTACATTTGCGGTGGTTTGTGCTTGGTGAGCTCCAAGGGTCATCCCAAGTAATAGGGTTGTGGCAACATATGACCAAATTAACGAGAGTTTGGTGCCATTGAACAATGCATGTGTTGGCCAAGACCAGGAAACACATCCGAATGATCTGATTTTCCAAATTAATGAGGATTCGGTGAAGGAGTTCTTACTGTATCAGCCAGCTATCGATCGCATTAAGCTATGATAAGTACAAATACCTTCGGTAGCGGCATAAACCCCTAGCATTAAACCCTGCTTGGGGCTAATGACACTACTAAGTGGAATAAGCATGCCAGATTTCGTAGCCATACTCTTTTGTTTCTGAGCAAAACCACATTTAATTTTGTGTTATAATGTAAAATTTGGATCGTAACTCAATAACAAGGTCACAATTACTATAAGATCTGAATTGCACAAAGTGAAAGCAACAAGCTTTTTTACTACACATGCAAAATTTTGCAATAACATATGGGAAAATTCATGATATGTAAAGCTGGAACTAAGATGATCCATTTACTCTACCACACTATGCTAGCCGTTTTCGCATTGCAGATGATGCTGTTTAGGCAGTCAGTGTTCGGGTGATGAAATGTTTAAAAAGATACTGACACGAAAATTTTGGCCTCGCGTTTTTTTCAATGCAATGTGTTCCTGGGGGCCTGTTAGTCATAACACTACACATCGTTTTTTGCAGCCTGCGACACATACAGGCTTGTTGCACTACAGTTGCACTCTGTGACAAGCCACAGAGTGCAACTATCACCACCTAGCGGGTGCAACACTCGACCATGTCAGCACTCAAAACTGTGACGCAATTCCGCGCGGTTCGCATCAAGAAATTTAAAATGCGAAGCATTTCTTAGCGAACTTCAGCCACTTTGAGCGTGTCTGTCTGTCTGTCTGCTGTCTGTCTACCCACAAAACACAAGAAAAGCTAAAAAACTTCTTGTAAATGTTCAAAAAAGATAGTCCAAAAGTATAGAAGAAGTCTTGTTGAGATGTTATTTAAACCTGAGCAGCTCGAAAACCTCCTGTACCTGTGCTAACGCCACGTTATTATAGGGCTAGAAAACTTTTAGCAATAAGTCTAAAAAACATCTGTCTAGATTTTTAAAGAACCTTTGTAAACGTTTACTATACTTATATTATCAGTAGCCTAGTAAACTTCTTGCCGAAATTATAAAAAGACTTTTGCTAGATCTTTTAACACCTTTTTTAGACATTTATTTTTC